CCCCAAAACCCCAAAACCCCAAAACCCCAAAACCCCTCCCTATGCTTTTAAATAGAATCTTTTAAGCCAACTATTCTTATTTATAAAAATGTCATCTTCAAATCAGAATACATCAAGTAAGCTTAAGTCTTGATTCTGGTTTTAAACATTTTCAGTCATTAACCAAATACTATAGAAGGTCCTGGGCTCGGTAGAACCCTAACTAATTTCGCTATTGGTGGAATCTGTGGGATGACGGCTACCTGCATTATCCAGCCATTGGATATTGTTAAGGTTAGACTTCAGGTCAGAGGAGAGACTGGTGTTGGAAACTTCTCCCCATTCTCTGTTGCTAAAGAGATCAGAGCACAAGCTGGTATTAAAGGATTCTATAAGGGACTTGATTCAGCTCTTGTTAGGCAAGCTACCTACACAACAGCAAGATTCGGTATCTATCTCAATGTTACCCAAAGTATGAAGAAGAATCTTCCTGAGGGACAGGAGAATATCTCATTTGGACAAAGATGTCTCGCTTCCTTGGTAGCTGGTGGACTCGGATCTTGGTTTGGAAATCCAGCAGACCTTGCTCTTATCAGACTCCAGACTGATGCCACTCTACCAAAAGAACAAAGGAGAAACTATAAGAACGTAGGCGATGCGTTCAAAAGAATCGTTTCTGAAGAGGGAGTTGGCGCCCTTTGGAAAGGTGTTGGTCCAACAATGGTCAGAGCAATGTCTCTCAATCTTGGTATGCTCGGCCCTTATGACCAAGCCAAAGATATGCTTACCAAAATTACTGGTCCTTCAAAGGTAGCCAACCTCGGTGCCTCTGCTGTTGCTGGTTTCTTGGCTTGCTTCCTCAGTTTGCCATTTGACAACTTGAAGACAAAGCTGCAAAGAATGAAGGCGAATCCAGATGGAACTCTACCATACAAAGGAATGATGGATTGCGCTATGAAGACTCTCTCAAAAGAAGGACCTCTGGGCTTCTACACTGGATTCCCAACCTACTACTTCAGAATTGCACCTCACGCAATGCTGACTCTCCTCTTCAGTGATGTGCTGAAAGCTGCTTTCTACAGATAATTTATGAAGTGCTTTCAAATTACATTATTTGAATCGTTTTTGGATCCTCACAGGGAGGTTATTTCAATAGGGAGTTTAAACTAAGGGGTTTTGGGGTTTTGGGGTTTTGGGGTTTTGGGGTTTTGGGG